TTTGAAGATGGAGTCTCACTCTTGTCACCCAGGCTGGAGTGCAATGGCATGATCTCAGCTCACTGCAGCCTCTGCCTCCCAGGTTCAAGCAATTATCTGCCTCAGCCTCCTGAGTAGCTGGGGTTACAGGCGCCCACCACCATGACCAGCTAATTTTTTCATATTTTTAGTAGAGATGGGGTTTTGCCATCTTGGCCAGGCTGGTCTTGAATTCCTGACCTTGTGATCCACCCACCTTGGCCTCCCAAAGTGCTGGAATTACAGGCGTGAGCCACCGCACCTGGCCAGCTGCTACATTTTTAATGAAAGAAAATGTTGAATCCAGCTAATGAAAATAAGGAAGCAGTACTTTTCTCATCCAACTTCATGGACTCTCTGAATTCTGTCCCCAGAGACCTTTGGTGTTCTAGGACCCCAAGTTAAGGAACCAAAAAAGAAAGGTGGTTGGGGCATGAGAGGGAACATATGTTAACCTTGTTTGTTTTGGTGATTAATTCAGATCCCCACTTTCTGAGGGTGCCCTGCTGGAAGATAACCCTGTTTGTAATTGTGCCAGTTCTTGGACCCCTGGTCGCCTTGATCATCTGTTACAACTGGCTACATAGAAGACTAGCAGGTGCAGTGGCTGGGCAGCAGGCAAGACCACCAAATAGTGGGGGACCAAGTCAGCTCTGAATGGGAAACAGAGAATGGAACCAGGGCTCAAGATTAGGGAAGCTGGGATTTCCTTACTCCTCTCTCCCCATGCCCAACCCCAGGTTCTTCTGAAAAACTGTGAAGAGAACCACTTACTAAATCTGTGGGGTCCCCCAGTGGAAAGGGGTGTGGGTCACTCCAAATGTCCACAGGGAGGATGTGGGGAAGGTGCTAGTCATTTTCCATTGATCACGTTATTTGTTTCTCTTTGTTTTCAGGGCAATTCATTGAAGAGCTAAGTAAGTTTTCTTCTCTCTCTTATAATCAGAAAATTAAAAGCCAAGAAAGAGGGACAGAAGCAACAAGAGGAAAAAGGGGACTGTTGAGGAATCACAGTCCCAGAGGAAAGGAGGAGCTGGAGAGCCTGGAGGGAGGGAGAACTCCTCCTGGGAGGTAGGGGGGAAAGAGGCCAGTTGTTAGACACATGTACAGCTGACAGAGAAACTGGAGGCACTACTGCCTGATCTGTTCCTCCTTCACTGCTCCTAAGCAGGAATCCCACCCTAGCTGTTCTCATTGCCCATTCCACAGCAACTGCCCAGTGCCTCACCTCTAAGACCAACCATTGAGGCGGGCATGGAGACAAAATAACCCCAAGGGCTTTTCTTCTCCCTAGTTCAATGGTTTTATGATACAAAGTACTGACATCGATTTTTCAAGTTATTTTCTCCTTCTTCTAGGAAATCCCTTCTGAATGATGTCGCATCTTGGCAGGGGTGGAGGAGAGCCTGGTTGCCCAGGGATTGGTCCTTGGGGATGTCTCATCCATCAAGTTGCACACTCATTGGCATCTTTGCTATGGGGACATTCCAATTTGCACTTCCAGAACACTCTGAATTCCAAGTAGAATTGATTTCCCTTCTGTCATCTACCTTTTCTCTTCCTTCTTTTTCCCATTTTTATTACCAATCTTTCCATTTCTCTCTCCAGTCCTCCACCTGGAAGCCCTCTCTGGCTAAGGACAGGCAGGTGCTCCTCTCTCCATCAGAGGACATCTTTGCTGGAAAGCAACACAGATAGGATGGTCTTTGTCACAAACTGGAGGCCAGAAACCTCCTCACTGAAAATTACAGTATGATAACTTTGCAAATGGTGGTTGTTTCCTTCGAGACTCCAGCCCTGATTGCGCAGAACTGAGATGCATGTGAAGGGAAGGAAGAGGAAGAGTTCAGAACGTTAAAGAGAGCTGAGTGAGCTGCAGAATGAGGATATGGGCAGCCCCAACCCAGACCTGGAGATTGGGAGAAACCTACAGAATAATTGCCAGAGATCCACCTTCTCTTGGTAGCCTACTAGGGACTTGGGGAACAAGACGTGAAATCTAGGCAACATGCCTGCTTTAGAATGTTTTACTTATACATCTTCCACAGGTCTCTCAGAATCTTCCCCTCCTCTTATCCTTTTTCTCCCATCTTCATACCTATCAGAGTATCCACTGTTTATTCAACAACTACTACTGGATGGTCTATCAGACAAAAGCAAATAAGCTAGGTGCTAATTAATAATAATAATACAAGTTTTGGCCAGGCACAGTGGCTCATGCCTGTAATCTCAGCACTTTGGAAGGCCAAGGTGGACAAATCACGACATCAGGAGTTTGAGACCATCCTGGCCAACATAGTGAAACCTCATCTCTACTAAAAATACAAAAAATTAGCTGAGTGTAGTGGCAGGTGCCTATAATCCCAGCTACTTGGGGGCGGCTGAGGCAGGAGATCACTTGAACCTGGGAGGCGGGAGTTGCAGTGAGCGAAGATCACACCACTGTACTCCAGCCCGAGCAACAGAGTGAGACTCTGTCTCAAAAAAATAAAAATAAATAATAGTACTAACACGAGTTTTCATATGCACACTCTAACTCTTTTTCTTTTATATATTTCCTTCCTTATGCACTCACCTGTCTCTTTCTACTCCAGCCATCTTACCCTGGAGGTCAGTCCTCAGAAAAACCAAATACAAAGATCTCAGGCAGAAATGCCATTTATTTATGTTTCAAGATGCTCACTGCCTCCTTTGTTTTGTCTCCTTTGCATGCCCTCTCCCTTAAGCCTCTTCTCCTGGGGGTATAGATCCTGGGGGAGACCCATCACCTCCATGCTTCCGTTCCTCCCCAGCCACAGTGAGGGCATCATGAGAGAAGCCAAGCCACTGGCCCAGGATCACCCGGCATTTACAGTGGCTGTCCGGGCACAGTTCCTTGCCTTTAGAGCCCCTCCAGTGACCCATAAGGCCCTCTTTCTCCCTAAAGCAGAGGTCGCAGATAGGGCAACGGTAGCTCTTCTGCTTCCAGTGGGTCTGCTGCTGGTGTCTGACCAGCTTGGATAATGAGCTGGAAGACTTGCCACAATGGAAGCAATAGTTGGGTGGCTCTGTGAGGTGGGTCTTCTGGTGGCTGTGGAGAGAGGACTTCTTGCTAAAAGTCAAAGGACAATGGGAGCAAGAGAAGACATGGAGTCTTGAGGGCTTCACTGGATGAGAACTGGATCTGTCATCCTGACAGGGGGTTCCAGTGATTGGTGCCTGGGTTCTGGTCACAGGCGCTTGGTTCTTCAGCATAGATGGCTGGTTCTGGACCATAGGGCCCTCAGTTCTAAATGTGGATTCCTGGGACCTGGGCCCTGGTGCATGGTCCACATCCACAAGTCCCTGGATGGACCTCTGGCTTCTGGCGATGGGTGTCTGGAATTCAGCAGGGGTGCCTGGAGTCCTCAAAGTACACTCTTGGTTTCCATCCACTGGCTCCTGGTTTTGGTGTATCCTCTGGTGGCGTTTGAGCTCAGACTGGTCGCGGAAGCTCTTGCCACACACGGAACATGAATGGGGCCGATAACCCAGATGGACGCGGCGGTGACGACTTAGTCCGGAAGCATCACAGTAGGTCTTGTCACAGAGCGTGCAACAGAAGGGCCTCTCCCCAAGATGCATGCGTCTGTGATAGCTGAGGGACTTGGGACTCCGAAACAGCTTCCCACACTGGCTGCAGCTATTAGTCCGCTTGGGATTGTGAACAAACTGGTGGCTATAGAGGTAGGAGCGCCTACTGAAACACTTGCCACAGGTGTGGCAAAAAAAAGGTGGCCCACCCCGTGATGCTTGAAGCACCCGGGTCCTGTCCATAGACCCAGCTGGGGCAGAGAGGGTCCCTCTGCATGCAAGGAAGACCTTGTCCTCACTGGTCCCCTCATCTCTCAGACTGGGATCTTGTTCTCGAAGCTCTTTCTTCTTGCCTTCTGTAGTGAATGAAGAATAACACAAAATTCACTTTAAGAACTCCAACACAGACTGGGCGCAGTGGCTCATGAATGTAATCCCAGCACTTTGGGAGGCTGAGGTGGGCAAATAACCTGAGGTCAGGCGTTCGAAACCAGCCTGACCAATATGGTGAAACCCCATCTCTACTAAAAATACAAAAATGTCCTGGGTGTCATGTCATCCGTCTGTAATCCCAACTACTAGGGAGACTGAGGCAGTAGAATCACTTGAACCCAGCCAGCAGAGGTTGCAGTGAGCTGAGATCACACCATTGTACTCCAGCATGGAAAACAAGAGTAAAACTCCGTCTCAAAACAACAACAACAAAAAACAACAACAACAACAACAACAACAAAAAGACTCCAACACAGCTCCTCCATCCAGCCCAAGAAAGACACTTCTTGCCTCTGCCCTTGCTCTCCCACCCAACATATTCATCCAAACCCTTGGGGCTCATAGGCTAGAAATAAAAAAAAAATGGCTTTTCAAATTAAAAGCAAATAAAAATTTAACTGGAAAATCTTTCAACAGTGTCAGAAATGTAAATTTTAACTTACAACAACACTTCTTGAAATCTATCTTATCTCATCTTCAATATTGCTCAAACTCCCGTAGACACTCCATAGATACCCACATATAATACATCATGAACACTGGGCCACTTGAAGGTAAAAGAGGTCTCATTAATAATCAAGCTGGGACGAGAGTATAAACCAGGATGCCCTGGCAAACCAGGAAGTGTGGTCAGCCTGGCTTGATGTCTCTCTAAACTATTTACTCCCAAGGACAAGCCTCCTTTACTCCAACCCAGCATGAAGCTTATTCCCTTCCTTCTCTTTTCTCTTGGAAAGAACATTTAAGTCGGAGCAGCGTCATGGACATAAGCAGCCTTCATGTTATCTCTCAATCTCTAGAAACTGAAGATATTTACTAATATTGAAAGACTTAGATCTTCAACTTGAAGTCAAGGGACTTGAGCCTATGATCTTAAGCTCTCTTTCAACTCCAAGTCTGACTGGGCTGGAAAGAGGTACACTATGAGAGCATATAGAGCATTCATTCTCTCGATCAGCTCTCCATCCTTTCCAGGTTTATCCTGGGTCCTTTTTACCTTCGTCTCTGCTTGACAATTCTTACCTGAAAGGCCTTCTGTGTTTGGGAGATGGAGAAACACTCTCCACTGTTTCTCTTGTTGCTCAAGCTTGGTGATTAGCTCTGGCTTATGCAGAAACATTCTGGCTGATGTGTGGGAATGAGAAAAAGTTTGAGTTGGTCCTAGGTGTGGCCCCTTCACATCTGATGGGGACAACAGGCTACCTCTTGTAGCCTTTATTTAAGAACCATAACCTGGGACATGTAGATGCAGAAAGGAGACATTCAAAAGGCCAGCTGCTAGTAAGGTACCTGGTTCTCAGGAGTGACTTAGTAAATATTGGTTGGTTGGATGAATGAAAAAATGTGCATATTCTGAGAACACTATCATCATGTTACAAGTGTTATCTTTGCCTTCATGTAGGCTATCATTTCTTCTCTTTACCACTGAGCTTAGTGACTCAGATCTTTCAAACCTGGAAGGCACAGAACCAGGGGTCAGTGAAACTAATTGTGAGCTGATCTACCTGTCCAGGGAAAACAGATGTTCCAGGGCCTTTAGGAACAGGGGGCTTACTGAGGGAAGCCCAGCCTCTTACCCACAGATGCTAGGTTCTTAAAGGTTTCCGACATAACATCCTGGTAAAGGACCCTCTGGCTGGCATCTAGGAAGTCCCACTCTTCCTGGGTGAAATTCACTGCCACATCCTCAAAGGTGACTGGCTTCTGGAAGAACAGGAGAGGCTCAAGAAGTTTATATCAATATATACATGTATGTGTGCGTGTGTGTGTATGCATGTGTGTGTGTACAAGATTAACATCCATTCTCAAAATTCAGAGAATTAAAAACTAAGAGAAAGATAAACCCATGGGAGGAAGAGAGAAATATGAAAAGACAGCCACAAGGCCAGTAACTGTGTAGTATAGAAAGGAAAGGAAAGATGAAGAGAAAGGGAGAAAGATGTGGGTGGGGGGGATATACAGAATATAAATAGGAAAGCAAAGCAAAGGAGAAAATGCTGCCACCCTAACAAATTTCAGAAAGTGCTCCATGAAGGATGCCAGGGTGGTGCGGGAGATGGAGAAAAGGTCTTGCAGCTCCGTTTTCTGGATGTCGTTCAGCCTGGAACAATCAGATTTCATTTAACCTGCAAGCAGGAGCATGCATGAAAGAGCTCCTGGAGTCCAGGACCTGGACCCCACCTCTCTCTAGCTTAGTGTCCTCACCTTCTTCACCCATGCCTCCCACCAGCAATCTCTCTTCATGGCTTCCTGCAGGGTGGCGGCTACCTCGCCCACCCATGGGAGCGTCTTCTGTACAGGTTCGATTGGTTCAAACACCTTCTCTTCTGTGGTGTCTCTTTCTAGCTTTATCCAGTCCTGGCCTGGCACCCAGGGCTGACTGGACCTCTTCCTGGAGCTATCTACCTCCCGGGAACTGGGCAGATGGAGAGGTCCAACAAAGGCCCCAGGGTTTGATGGGGCTTCCTGTGACAAATGCATCTGCTCCAAGAGGCTGTCTTCCTTTTTTGTTCTGCTGTCCAAATTCTTTTCTTCCACAATTGAGAAAACCTTCCTTCCTTCAAAGCCAGGGCCACAGAGTTCAGGGCCCTGGCCACCCTTCTCTCACCAGCTGCCACTGTTTAGTAACTCCAGGCTGGGCTAGGTGTCTGCCCTCTGTTCCACCCTGCTTCTAGAAACCTGAGGTCAGAGAAAAACAAAATATATCAGCAAGAGGTTAGGGTAAGAAACAGCTTTTTTTATCAGGTCGGGGAATGCCAGCAGTTATTAAACCCCTGCTGTGTGCCACTGAATGCTCTCAGCAATGAGGTAACAATTTCTGGCCCCATCTTAAGGACCTAAAGCACAGATGCTAAATAATTTTCTTTTTTTT